CTTCCTTCACGCCCCTCTCAAACCACCTATTTTCTTAGGAGGATGGGAGGATTTAAAGGTTACTATGTGATAGCATGGTAACCTTTAGATCATCCCATCAATTAGGAAGCACACCAGCAGGCATTTCCAGCATTTTTTATTTTTTTTTTGTCAAACCATGGTACATAAGTTATTCTGATAACTTTTTGGAATATTTAGGATCAGAAAATTTTCAGTTATATTTAAAAGTAAAATATCCAGTCTAAATTCATGAAAGAAATAAAGGGAATTTATCCTTTCAAAGAATGAAGTCAAAATGTGTCCAGAAACTAACCAACTCTTGCCATCTAAGGCCTTTTCTTTGAGTATTTATGTTTTGGGATGAACAAGGTTGTAACAAACTGCAGAGGGAAAAGTATAATTAAGGCTTTGTTAATCCTTTTATCATAATATCACTATAAGATTTATGGTTTAGACAGAAGCTCATGAAACGTTTCAGCTGTGAAAGCATTTATGCCAGCATAATATGACTGCATAATTTTGAAGTTCCACCGTAATCATATCTGCATGTTAGTGTTTATGTTGCAAAGGATGATGCAGTTTCATCTATCAAAGATTCAAAATAGATTTTTTTTTAAATCGACCAACTAAATTAGTTTAACTTTACTACATTTTATTATGAGATAAATCATGTATCGGATAATTAACACTGTTCTGTTGGCTTATGCTGGTAGGAAAATGCTCGTCAAAGAAGACTGATCTTAAGTGTTAAAGGTAAGCATACCTTCGTCAGCATGATGGTGAAGTATTACCAATAATATACAAAAAAACATGTTATTTTTCACTATTTATGATAAAGATCTGATCAGTCTCATCAATGTGATGCATTGCATCTTACTCTAAGTCATAGATTTTTTGTTGTTTTTCGAAATGGAAAATTTCTCAATTTCTACTAAACTGAATTTGTGGCACTTTCAACTTTCAATGCAAGTTGCAATCCAATTGTTGCTATTTATAGGCTTCTGCTTGAGCAATTTGTTTAGATTTGAGTTTTATGGTTGGGATTTTCTTTAGTAGTTGAGGTTCTGCAGCAGGATCCTCTGTACATTAAGTGCACCTCTAGCCTGATCCTGTGATGCAGCACTGAACGCACCAATTGATCACATCAATCTAGAGCAAATTAGAAACAATGCAGCTTCTAAATACAGTACATTATTGAACCAGTTGTTGTAACTTCATCTTGCTCTTCCTGCTCTTCCACAACAGGTTCCTGGCAAAGCCGAAGTTTGTAAGCGCTTCAGTGCAGAGGCAGAGAGAATGGGCTGTTTGTGAATGAAAGCTAAGGTTAGCTGTATGTTCAGCTAGAGGCTTGTTCCCTGGTGAGAGCACTGATACCATTTCTTAATCAAAGTGATGCTGGAGTTGTCTTTCCCACAGGGGAAGGACCTGAATGCAGACTTAAGAAACTTTTAGTCTTTCAATCAGTAACTTTTTATTTTCATGTCCACCACTGACAATCAAGGGACAAAGACTCAATTCTTCTGGTTAACAGGATCATTTCATGTCAGCCAACTTCCCATACTGAGTTTGCTGGCTGTCCACCTTTCTAACAATCTCTTACAGTACCACACGCTTCTTGGCACCACCTAAAAAATTGATGCGAAGGCACTTGATCCAGAATGGCAGAGGCTTTGATTTATAGATAGTTGCTAAGAGTAGAGCTGTCCAGTTTAAATCATATTTCTCTTTTTTTTTGCCACTGTACTTAAGAATAATAGTAACACTGTGGAAAGATAAAAATAAATAATAAATCAATAACTAGCAAAAAAAAAAAAAAAACACAAAATAGAGACAACTGCATTTTAGAGATCCTTACAGCAGAGGTTTGGTAAGAATCAAATATTCAATATTAATATTAAGGTTATCACATAAACTAATGCTACTACAGATAGGGATAATCATGCATTAATATGAAGGATTCAAACAGCTTTATAAACTAACAACCACAAGTGTCTTTAGTCTGAATTAAATATAACCCTTTCTATAAAATATGCAGTGAACTTATTTTTGTCAGAATTTTGAAAGTTTAATTTGGACTATGCAGTTTGAGAGTTTAACAAGATACCTTTTGCTCAATTGGCCTTTATTAAAGATTCATGCAATCCTATGTATCCACTTGTGCTTCTAAGACTAAAAGTCTTAAATTAATCCATCAGCTTTCTTCCCTCTGAAACATCTTGCTGTGTTCAGCTGAAATTTTTTTCCAACAACATAAAATAAGTTCTTTATCAAATTGTGCGCATCTAATTTAACTAGTTCGCCCTCTCACTCCACTGCAATCAACAGTGAGCATGGAGTCAAGAGGCAGTTAGAAATTAATATATATATAAAAAAAGTTCCAATTTAGTTTTTTAAGATAAGAAGATAATAGATACTTTTCAGACAAGTCAGGAAAAAAGCATGCTAAAAGCTTCTAAAGACATGGGAGGGGTGGGGGTCCAAAACATGCTGCGAGAGCTTCTCTAAAATTGCTGATCAATGGCCAAGTCAAATCAACTAGAAAAACTGATGCTAGGAATTAGTTTAGCAGCCAGAGGATGACCCCCATGCACTCCCACCCAGTAATAGAAGACTATGGATGCTGCAATCACGATTTTTCAGAAAAACAGAAAATCAAATAAATATCAACATTAAATATATCAAATAATGTCAACTAAAAATGAAACTTTAAAAGTCAAATGCAGGCTGCATTTAAATAAACAATCATAAGTTACTAAATTAAGACTAGCTGAGAGGATGTTTAATTGTTTTGTGCATGTCCAAAATTGGAGCACTGTTATTTTTCTTCTGACCAAGTGGAATGATACTGCAGAAAATGGAAAAGACGGGGAGGAGCTTTAAACATTACGCTCACAGAGCTTCAATTGATCTGAGATCTGGGGAATGTGGCAGCCTCTTTAACACCTCAAATATGTTGACGTGAGGTGTTATCTTTATAAAAGGGGGTATAGCAATTTTAAATAGTGCTTCTGTGAGATAAATTGCAGTATACTTTAGTATCAGCTTATCAGAAGAACCTTTTACATATGCAGGAAATTTAGCAGTAGTATCCTGTCTATTGGATGACCCTCAAGGTTTTGTGTAGCTGATTCCCCCCTGCTCTTTATATCAAATACATACAATAATTGCTACTACGGCATACCCTACAAGACTTAACTACAGTTTTAAGAATATCCTACGCAGTTATCTAGTCATTAGAATTTGACCCATTGCAATCTTTGGTAACTTTTCAATTTTTTCAGCTAAAACATGAACTATGAATACGAAATGCATAGCTGGTTCAGCAACCTACCAGTAAGAGACAAAAATAAGACAAAAACAGTCGGAACAGTGGCCAGACAAATCAATGAAACTGAAAGAGATAAAGGCAGCCAGTGAAAATCTGGAAACAACAGTTGGAAAAAAAATTATTTAATTTGTCAGGCCAATATTCAGACCAATTACCTCCACCAAGGAGGTAATGTTTTCAGTGGCATTGATTTTTTATTTATCAAGATAACACAATAGGTAATGGGCAAATTGTAGTATTTTTATTTTACTTTCATTTTTTAAACCACAGGTGTGGCAGCACATATTAGAAACTGTCTTGGCTGGGATTTGGATCAAGACTCAGATTAGGGTCGTTTTTAAAGAATTTCTTAACATTGTTACAAGGAGAAATGTGCTTCTTGGTGAAAATCCGTACTCTCCCATTCTTTTAAGCTGAAGACTCCTAGTCTGCCTGTTTTTAAAACGATCTTCAGGCTAATATTTTATGCCTAAAATTATTAGTGTTTTGTTGTCTTGTTTCCATGTGCATGTATGTTTTGACTCAAAAAATCGGCAGCACATATTAGGGTAGCTTAGACTGACCTGTATCATTTGATCATTACATCTGAATGTATGCAATGTTTGCTGTAACGTAAAGTGTCTATGTATTTTTTTATGTTCTATTCCTGGCTGAAATATACATTCCTCTAAATGGATAAAAATAAAATTATTTGGATATTCTGGTTCTGAAAATGCTGCCTTGCTTCATAATGCAGTACGTCATACCTCATATGAGCCATGGTTAAGAGATTCTCAGTGTTTTAAATGCACTTCCCCCATCAATGGTCATTAATTCATGCCTGTTTGCTGTAAATACGTAAGCAGCTCTAGACATATAAAATATAAAATGTCAGGAATTTGCTTCTTCTTTTTTTAAATGAGTTTTTTGTAGAAACAGAATCAAATTGGATATGCACTTTAATCTCCTTTTTACAAAGCTTTGCTCTCTGCGAGTAATTCTTAGGTTTGTAGAGCAAATTGTGTGGAAATAATCACACATATAGAAGATATAAAGCTTTAAAAAATGTATATCTTCCTAATTAAATGAAAACAAATTTTAAAGGACTGTGATATAAAGAGCAAAGAGGAAAAAAAGAGAGAGAGATATAGTTTAGGATCTGCTCTTTATGCAACTAAACAATAATAGAGCATTTAAATACATCAGGGTCTTTGTAAACCACCAAACTCGACAACTGAAAACATGTTCCTGTTTAGTACAAGCTGTTCTTGGAATCATATTTCAGCATTATCCGCTTCAGCTGGTTGCTTGCGGGGATGCTTTTATTGCTTGTTTTGTTATTTTGTATCATTATTCTTAGATGGTATGTATTAAATTCGTAGAAAGACAAACAGATTTGAATTTCCAGCGCTGGCCACTTGTCAAACAGCAGGTGTTGTTTTTCTATGACAATTTCAATTAACTGTTAATTCTTATCACTACGATTCACACATTGTTACCACTAAGATATTTCTGAATGATATATATAATTAATATATAGCTGAAGCCAAAATAAGGTTGCAAGAAACCTTTATTCGAAATTAGTAATTGCATCGTTACTGTAGAAAAATACTTCCACACTTTTATGTAATACCAAAGCAATTTAAATGAAAATAAATTAAATTAAACTACAATCCAAATTTTCCTTCCTCACCTTGGCAACCCTGTTGGCAACCTCGCGACCCACCATTAGCCCCTGGACAAACGTCCGTGCAGCAATAAATGCTTTGGTGACCTGAGCCTTCAGTTTTCTGGGCACATCTCCAAAGGGCTTTAGCTGGTCTGTGTATTTGGTGACACATTCCAGGTAGTCGTCTGTAAAGTGATACTGGGAGTTGAGCAACTGGAACATGCGTTCCAACAGCCTGGACCAGAAGTCATTCAGCATCTCCTCCAAGTTGACGTTGCCCCCAGTGTAATAGCGCTTTAGTTCAGTGAAGAGGTCCTGGAACACCTCAGAGTTCTGCATATACAGCTTCCCGTATGTCTTTGTGAACATACTGTTGAGAGATTTTTCAGAGTTGTCCAGCAGCTCCAGGAAAAACTCTAGATGGGAGAAGGGTTTGGGAAAAGGGGGTAGAGACAGAAAAGGCATTTAACTTATCAATCAGATATTTACATCACCCATTTTCATGACAGACTTTTAAATAGAAGTATGAGTAGAAGCTACTAAAACTACCTTTCTTACCTATCATTTCACTTAATGGTGATTTTATGATCCCATCTGCATCTCTATAGTGGCAATTTAAAGCAGCCAAATATAGGTACTAGATTATGTGAAAGTCAGTTCAGAGCATTAATAATTTAATAGCTGAAATAATGGGCCACAAGAACCATGAATGATTAATGTACAGGTTCTGATTGCACACTGTAACAAAATATTCATAAGTTTTGGATGCAGACACTAGTATACATTATCCTTCCTGGGCACCGAACCATTGTTCCCAAATGGAATAGTTAAGCGCTGCACCACTTTTTTTGTGACTGATCTTAATTGCTCAGAGAGACCAGTATGACATTTTATTGATATAGAAGTCAATTTGCTTTGTTTTAATCATTAGAGTGGCCAGAGGTTTAGACTTAATAAAATACTTTTAAGACATCCTTCCTTCTTCTGAAAATTGAATAGGTAAAACAGGACTTTGAATAAGACTTTTTGTCAAGAACCTTCTCAACAAGAACCCTAAAAATAAGATCTGGTAAATTTGTGGGGCAAACTCAATGCAGCACTGCTAAAACATTTCTTTGAGCATTGCACGTATTTGCGAAAGTCCTGTTAAAAAATGGAAAAATACCTAACTAAAATATGACATAAACAAACATAGCAAAATGTATCTAAGCATTTTTATGTTTAAAATAAGTACAAGCAACACATATGAACTGAGAACCTTCAAAACACCATATACAGGGGCTGTATATATATGTATATATATATATATATATATATATATGTGTGTGTGTGTGTGTGTGTGTGTGTGTGTGTGTGTTATATGGTCATGGTAACATGCTTTCTACAAGCCTGTTCAAGTTTTATCTCTGATTTTTCAGTGGTCTTATTTCCATTTTTGTGTTCTAGTTATTTTTGATTGTATTTGAGTTCTTAGATATATCTTCTTTGCCCTCTTATGTCAGTCTCCTTTTCCCCAGCTCCCTTCTTGCCTCTGTTCACACCTGCTCCTAATCTGCTAATTAGCTTGGTCTTTGTTTTTCTCTCCCATATATTCTCCTCCTGTTCTCCTGTCCTTTGCTGGTTTGTCATAATTTCTTTGTCCCTGTGTTTTAAGTATTTCTGGTTCTCTATTTTATTTGGATTCTGAGGATTTATGTTTTTAGATTTTTTCTTCTGTTACACTTTTGTTATTAAACCTTCAAGTAACCACCTTAAGCTTTTGTGTCTGCATTTGGGTCCTGTCAAACCTCCACCCCCACTTGACAGTGGCTGGTTTGTACTGTCTAAACTGTCTAAATAGTGGCAAGGCAACCTCTCAGTTTTTGTTAGCTCTTTGAAACATTTCTGTGCTCTGCTGCTTCATCTCCAGTGAGGTAAGAGCCCGTTTCCCAAACATTTGTGATGCCTCCTGCTAACATGATTAAAATGATCTAAAAAGAAAAATTAATAAAAAAAATATGTAATCCATTCCTCTGTAATACTGTCATATAAAAATGTTTACAAGGGTTTATGTATATAGAAAAAAGAAGAATAAGTCTTAAGCCCAGTTAAATAGATCTTAGCCGTTAAATTTGTTTTAATTGAACCAATGTGCCCTACTGTAGGTTTTTTTTGTCTACAAGAGGTTTTGCTATGCAGTTATAAAAAATCATGATGATCATGAATCAAGTGTTCCCTGCAAAACATAACCAAAAACATCACATTTGCCACTAATTTCCATTGTAATATCTGATACTAATCTAATTCTGAGTGCCTTTAAGCAACAAACATGCAAACATACAAAAATGCAGGTCATTGTAGGTACCTTGAGTGATCCATTGTTAGATCTAAAAAAATATCGCAATCAGTAAGATTCAGCAGAGAACTACCGGTAATTGCATTTTCTGCTCTATGCCACAAAGCACAGTCACAGCCTCCACGTCTTACTAGCACCATCACCAAGGTTCTTAAGGTTTAACAACATCCTAGTCAAACTATATACTTTGTTTTTAAAAACGAATTGGGATCATTTATCCTAAATAACCTTAGATTTAGACATTAATATTGCTCAGGGATGACAATCCAATTCAAACACTAGCAAATATAACATTTCATTTCACATCTGCCTAAGTTGCTTTCTTCCATATGAGCACTTGCACTCTTGAGTATTAAATCAGCAAACAAAGAGAAAAATATGAAGGAAAAAAAAAGGGAATTAACAAGGGAGTCTCACTGAAGCCTGGCTAATAGGATCCCATGTTCCTAAGCACAATAGCGTAAATGTTGGGAAGATCATAACACATTTCTTGAAGCACAAAAGTCAAACATTCCCCCACCCCTCCTTGTAAACAAACATGCTGCAAATGTTCCACGTGCCAAGCTTGCTAATAAACCATCAGAGGAGCCTTCTCCTGGCTGCCTGGCGGATATTTCTTAGCTCTGTAAATAATGTCAGTCTTGAACTAAAATGTTGGAAATGTCTGATTTAATACATTGCACGATCAAAATATATATATAAAATAAATTAATTTAATATAGCATTGATTAGCTGTGATTTACTTAATTTCATTATGGCAGAATTATTTTTTTCTAATGTAAATTTCCCCTATTGGGCATTAATAAAGTGTCTGTCTGTCTGTCTGTATCTATCTGATTAACAGCACACATCTAATTGTTTGTGTTTCTAAGCAAATTAACTAAATGATATTAGGTATTCAACAAAAGTGATAACCTTCAGATTTTTGTAAAAATGTTATTTTATCTATTTACCGGACAACGTAACATACAAAACTTTTATGCAATGTAAAATGGTTAGCGTACAGTTTTTATAGTAATTTAATTTTTGTCCCTCAAAATTTAATAAACAGCGGTTTAAACCACTGTTAACAAAAGTAAATAAAGCCCCAAGTGAAAATATCAGTTTGTGTCCAATGAGTCCATAATTTTTTGGGCCACCATATTTTGCCAGCAGTGGGTTAACTCTCCTAGGCATGGTTTTTACTAGCGCCTCACGAGTTACCCCTGAAATCTTCTTTTAACCCTACATGATGATATCACACAGATGATTGATATTAGAGACTTTGCAAATCTTTTTATTTATATTTGGTGTTAAATATGTGCTCCATCTGACAAAATGTGGTATTTAATTTTTTTTTTTTAAGCAAGTGTGTTTGATTTTTTTGAGGAAATGTTTAAATGACCCACAGACCACATCAAAGGAAATAATCCAATGCTCTCTGCAAGCTTTGGTGCAAATAAGTCTAAATATTTAAGTGTGACTTTTCTTGTCATTTTCTATACAGCCATAAACACTAGGTTTGAATGACTAAGCATTATGTGTATGAAAGTGTACAAAAAATAAATATATATATATATATATATATATATATATATATATATATATATATATATATATATATATATATATATATATATATTATTGTGGCCCCACACATTTAAATTTGACAAATCCAGCCTTCATTCACATGACTGTTAAGAATATGATAACATCAGCATATAAATATTCCTTTTGATCCCGTTTTATTTTGTCTCCCTTCTCTTTTCTCACAGCTGGAATAGTGTAACATGTCCCACACCTACAATTGCATAGGGACCATTCCCCAGTCATTGATACTTCTTTCTTTGCAGCTGAATGACCTGCCATTACACCAACATAGCTTTAAATATTAAGAGCCCGCAGGGCCTTTTCATTTCAATTTTTCAATTAGATCTGAATCAAGGACATGTAACCCGCTGTGTATTGCGAACGAAAAATTCCATCCTTGTTACTATGTAAATGGCTCTAAAGACAGGCATGAAACGTGATATCACATGGGCTCATTGGCTCTTGAAGGGTTTATGTGTAATGTGATGTTCTGTTAAAAATAAAGATTTTTTTTTCTATTTTGCTGAAAATAAAATATTAAAGAGAACAAGAGTTTGTGCATTTAAAGGATAATTGTGGTTTATCAACTGTTTTAAAACCAAAAATCTAGTATTAAAATGCAAAATCTGTAAAGGCAACCCTCTGCTGAAAGGGTTTCTTTTGAGATTATAAATAGTTACTAACCAATGTCAAACTACACTGAATTCTTATGGGCACTCAGTGTAAAAAAATATATTGTCTTATCTGCATCACTGTTTGGTATTTTTTTCCTTCTTGTTTTTGTTCAATGATATCTACCTGGAAAAAAGACAGTGCTGATTGTTTCAAATAGTGGTTAAAGCCAACTAATGTTTAAAGATTTTGCTTTCTACAAGCCAAAGTTTGTTAGGGAATTATCACTGAGGAGTTTTGGCAATGGAGAACATTCAGCTCCTCAGCCTTCTGGGTGTTGATAGTTGGAAATGTCTCAATACAGGGCTTAAAACACTGATAATATATTAGAAACAATTATTCCCTGCCCTAAATCTCCTGGGAAAATAAAGATACACAAATCAAAAGTTGGAAATAGGGTAATTAAACTGTATTATATGAATAACACAGCTAAGGGTATTTGAATAAGAAGATTTACTTTTGGACTTAGATTATGTGAAACAAACAACATTCTTTCTCTGCAAATCTGCCTCTAAGGAAGCAAAGACAAAGCAAAATGTTGGTTGGAAAACATCCTAGTCATGCAATTTTGATTTATCCAAACTGACAACTAAAAAGGACTCATAAGGCATTGCACTGAAAAGTTTTCACTTCTAACCCAATGCAAAAAGAAAATGCTTAATTATGAAATTAGCTTGATGCATGTATTATAGCACATAATCTCAGCACATAATGGAAGAAAAAAAGGGAAAGCAAATTGTTGTATTATAGCACATAATCTCAGCACATAATGGTAGAAAAAAAGGGAAAGCAAATTGTTGTAGAAAAATACCTTAACCCTAAAATTGTTTTCCACCATTC